CGGTAACTACTGGGCCGATTGCGCTGAAAGTTGGCATGTAGTCTTACTTAATAATGTGTCTCAATGCTTCTAAATCCTTTGCCGCTCATTCTCCGTCACTATCCACCCTAATCTGTGTTTTCATTTAAGAGTAGCGAACCAACTTCCAACACGGCATTGCCGTACAGTATGCACTCAGGCGGCTTTATTCGCCAGCACCGTCATTGCGGTACAGTATGCAATCAGGCGTTTGATGGCTCTGCCATCTAGCGCGAAACAGGAAAGGTGGGGTGGCCACGCAATGGATAGTAGCCGGTTCACGACGGCCATCTGGTAAGAACAAATTTGGTGCAGGTTTGGTGCGATTAGGTTCAGTGTGTTTCTTAGCAGCTATCAGCTAGGGTTACATTAATTGCTTATAGCTATTCCTACTTTTCATAGTATCAGACATTATTATCGATCAACCCTATTACTGGTGGGGGGGGGGGGCATCGGCCCCACCTGTAGTATTTTTTCTGTCGATGGAAAATCGCCTTAGGGGTTCGAAATTTGGCGACTTTTCCTTAGCTAGAGGCGTATCCAGGATCAGTTTCTCGGGGGTAAATCTGGTCACACTTAAAACAAAAATAATTTCAAAACAAACGTGTCCATCTGTATGTGTGCATATGCCCCAGAGACAGTATTGCGGTACAGTGTGCATTCAGGCGGTGATACGGCAGACGCGGCTTTGCGGCACAGCGTCCATTCAGGCGCTTGACGCTCCTGCCATCTAGCGAGTAAAAAGGAATGTTTGGGCGGCTATGCGAGCCGCACTTATTGGGTAGGTATGCGCACTCGATTACCTACCTGGCAATCTTCAAGAGAACAACCTTTCACCATTTACAGCATTAATAATATCCATGATATTGAACAAACGAATGTGATAGAATACAATTAGAGTAGTTTACAGTGCTCATGTTAAGAACGTAGGTATGTTATGTTACGACTTACTGGTGGTTATAGGAATGCACTAGAGTAAGGTGGGAATAGAGCCCATGAGTAGGGTATTGGTATGGTGTAGGTAGGGATAGGTAGGGTAGGACATGTATATGGGTAGAATAGCGCTTTTTTGCGGCGTAGGTACCCGATTGGCGGGTGGGCGATGCGGGCGATTTTCATTTTTTTGTGGCGTTTGCGGTTGGCGGCGGGCGGGCGGGCGCACGATGCGGGCGGTTTTCATTTTTTCGAGGCGTTTGCGGTTGGCGGCGGTCGGGCGCGCGGTTTTCATCTTTTGCGGCGTTTGTAGTTGGCGGCGGGCGGGCGTGCGATGCGGGCGGTTTTTATTTTTTGCGGCGTTTGTGGTTGGCGGCGGGCGTGCGTGCGATGCGGGCGGTTTTTATTTTTTGCGGCGTTTGCGGTTGGCGGCGGGCGGGCGCGCGATGCGGGCGGTTTTTATTTTTTGCGGCGTTTGCGGTGTTGTTTGCGGTTGGAGGCGGTCGTTTTTACTTTTGCGGCGTTTGCGGTTGGCGGCGGGCGCACGATGCGGGCGGTTTTCATTTTTTTCGAGGCGTTTGCGGTTGGCGGCGGTGGGCGGGCGGTTTTTATTTTTTGCGGCGTTTGTGGTTGGCGGCGGGCGGGCGTGCGATGCGGGCGGTTTTTATTTTTTGCGGCGTTTGTGGTTGGCGGCGGGCGGGCGTGCGATGCGGGCGGTTTTTATTTTTTGCGGCGTTTGCGGTTGGCGGCGGGCGGGCGCGCGATGCGGGCGTTTTTTTTTGCGGCGTTTGCGGTGTTGTTTGCGGTTGGAGGCGGTCGTTTTTATTTTTGCGGCGTTTGCGGTTGGCGACGGGAGGGCGTGTTTTTTTTTAATAATTCAATGTCCAAACCTTTGGATTCGTAGTGCTCCTCGAAAAGCCATCCCTACCTACTATACAATTAAGAGAAGTAACTAACAAACACCACCCTACTTATATAAACATTCAAGTTTTGACAACCCAACTAATGGCCCCATCAACCATATCTATCCAAACGTACAGTTATCGCGTAAACCTGTATTCTAGTTTCCGTTAATCTAAGGAAAGACTACGCTCGCTTCGCTCGCTCCGTAATCAAAACAGTTCAAAATATCATGTAGAGAAAACAAACGAAGACATTTCATGATTCCGTAAAGACAACTAGCGGTATTCATCTAGATGTTGCCTAGGAGAATATGAGCAGATCTAACACCTCACCCAAGGTCACCTCAGGGGGTGACCTTGGGTCACTGCAGGCCTACGGAGCATTTGCCAAGACATGAAATAGGACTAATTACAGGACTGTAGTTAGTCCGTAACAGAAATAGGACTGTAGTTGGCTAGTTTTGACATGGCCCAAGTCTTGATATGGCCGCGAGGAAAAAAGTGGCCTGTATTAATGCTGCCCGGCCCGTATTAATGCCGACCGCGAGGCAGTCCGCATTAATGCTGACCGGGGGCCGTATTAATACGGGCCAGGCCTCCGGTCAGTATTAATACGGGCCGGGCAGTATTAATACGGACCGGGTTTTCAAACGGGCCGTAACATGTATACTGATGTGTGCACCGATTGTTTTTGGGTCCATATTACATGAAATCATGTTCTGAGAAGCTTTTACCAAAAATGCAGTCAAAAAACTTCACAAAAGTAAATTCAGCTTGCCTAAAACGCAATTAGCTTAGATGACCTTGGTTGACCTTGACCCTGACCTTGACCCCTGTACATCGTCGAACAACATGTTCCATGATAGGTGGGAGGTAAGACTGGCAAAAAAGGCCGAAATCAGGGTGTCAAAAGCTCACAAGGCCCATGGCAAACGCAAGATGTTGAGAATGGCCATTTGGGTCATGACATGACCTGAAAAACAAGGTCATATCTCCGAAACCAACAATCACAGAAACTTGAAATTTTCAGTGGACATCAAGAAAGGATAGAGGAGCAGCTATACGAAACATCAGCCTTCTAGCTCTAAAATTGTTGAGTGCAGAGCAGAAAGACTACCTGGGGGGGGGGGGGTGGCAACCACCCCCCCATGTGCGGGCGAGGGTTAACATGTTTCTACTTTCTAGGCTAGTTTTTTAGTTGAATTTGAATTGAGCAACTATTTGAACATTTGCCTACGTAACATGTTACGAAGCTGCCAACGGCGGTTGACACTAGGTAGGTACTAGGTATGTACGAATACCCGCTAGCTTACTGGTTGACCTGACCTGACCCGACATGGCCTAAATGCATGAAGACATCATCTGTGGTCAAAACTAACATGACATTGGTGATCAGTAACCCGAAAAACCCTATAGCTTAAGCTGCCACACTTAACTACGTTCTAACAGGTCCCGATTTTCCCGACTTTTAGGTCTTGACGGCTGACCTGGAACGTCAACCGACAACCAATGACCAAGGACCCGGAAATTGGGTATCATCAGCATCCTCTCGTCACGGGCAGCACGCTCGTTTTTGTGCGAAGCTCTAGCTCGATCAGGGGCCAAACGGCAACGGGTGGGAGGGGGGGGGGGGGTCCAAGTTCGCGGCTGGCAAAGCACCAATACCTACGGGGGAGGGCTAGGCGTCGGCGTACCTATGTGTCAGCGATCATTTTCCGTGCGTTTCCAGACTTTTGCGAGCAGAAATGTGGCAAAATGTGTATATGTAAGTGTTCATGTTTGTCAATGGATAATGGTTGGCGACTGCCGAGTGATATTGTCAAGGTCATATGAGCATGCCCGGTGCCTTTTAAGCACCTTTAAGGCCTGAGAAGCTCTGCTCCAAGATACCTATAAGAAACCTCTGCTCCACCTCTGCTCATAGTCGATTGTCGAATGATAATGAAGGTGGTCGCCGAGCTCGAACAAGGTCTGAGGTGCAGAGGAAAAGGGTTTGTGCTTTCTGATTCCTGACGGAGGATAGGTGAGAGCGGGCTAGGGCAAGAAATGGATCAAAGAAATCAGTGCAGCGGTCATGTGAAGGCATTATAAAGTTTTACACTGCCCTCATAGAAGTTTTCCCTTTATAGTTGGAAGCAAATATGGAAGCAAATAGTCCGAGCGAACATTGCGCAGTAATGACGTTATTGAAGATGGAGCTGAGGCCACTAAATTAAATAAACAATTGAACAATCAGGCCTAGCCGGCATAGCGAAGACCGTGGCCAGTTCTCTATATACCGTGACCGTGGCCAAAACGTGTGGTATACCTACAGGGTGATTTTTTTTTTTACTTGTTAAAAAGTAATGAGGTCTAGGGGCATTAAAATACAAATATATATTGCAAAATTATATACCAGGATGACAAGCATGCTGGGACATTTTGATTTCATGCAGACACGATGTGAAGGAGCGTCCATCGTGTATTTTACTTGTGCTTGAAGTTGCCCCCTCTCAGGGGGCGTTGAAGTCTAGTAGGAAAATCTGGCAATCCCCGGCGTGACGTAACGTCGGGGATGACCGACGGCACCTTGCACTGAAAGATACGGCAGAACGGCTATTTTTGAAAAATGATTAAAAATACTTGGGTGCTGTTATGACACATCAAACGCTTATCAGCATGTTCCTCATCATGTGATAAAGCCATATCCGTGGTCGAAAATAACCGAGCCCCTTCCAATTTCCAAACATCGACCTTATAAGCAAAGAATGTAAGCGTAATCCTTAAGGGCGACTTTCCCTTACATATCCGTACATATGCGTCCTTATGGAAATCGGTAGTGTGGCGATAAGCGACGCGCGCGACATCTGTGGGGCGACTGTGGCGACACCTGGTGGCTGCTTTTCTGCTGTATGTAGGCATTGGGGTTTTGCCAGATATGGTTCCTACTGCTACACCACTATGTTGACCCAATACTAGAAAGTTATTTTGTCCGTAAATGGCAAGCAAATTAAAAGTATATTTATAAAATTGCTTATAAATGATTACGAGATAATAATGAAGAAGTTTTGATTGATTAATTATTTAAATATTTAACCGTGAAACTATATTCTGGTAGGTTTAGTAGAAATTAGTCCGTGCAACCTTGTATTTAGGGCCTTGCCCCCTCTCTCACCAACACGAATCAGCCCGCCTGAGCACGTGTTGAACGGCACCATGGACTCACATACTCATTAGGCGGACTGAAAAGGTTCCTATCATCCATTTTCAGCTCCGCCAGATATTTCCAATGTTTTCTTGTTATATCTGCCATAGCTGGGTCCAAAAACTAGAAGTCTATTAAGGGCAGGTCGAGGATTTCGATACTGGCAGCCCTGGTGGTGTCTGATTTGTTGTTTTTCTTTCGCCCTGAAGACTGATTCTTCAGAGGCTGCACATACGCCAAATGAACCGTTTGAAGGTTATTTATGACTACAAGCTTGTTCGTGCATTATTTAACGTCTTTCTGGGGTGTCTCCTCGATGATCGTATGCCTCGAACTGCCTCAATGCTTCAAAATCATCGTTTTGTACCGTTCCTTACTGAACGGCGGTGGACCATGCGTGCCCGATTGGTGGGACATTTTCAGGCTCCATTGGGGCCGAGGCCTTCGGTTAAAAGGAACAAATCATGACACCATACAAAATGTCCCAGATTTATCTATCACGTGCATTGCTTTTTTGTAAGAGATTTTTCGATTTAGGGACCACCATTGACATTTACTTTTTAACAGTTAAAAAAAATCACCCTGTACATTGACATATTGATCTACATTACAGTAGGTACTAGGTACGGTACGGTAATTCTGACAATATTTATGCTACATTGCAAGTTATGCAAGACCTTATTTTGTGTACATGTGCAGTGCCAGTGGTAGGTCTGGTTCAAGGTAGTGACAGTGCCACATGCGGGTATATGTGAATGAATGACAATATCAATCCCCTGGTATCAATATTGTGCTAAGTTTTATTATTTGGTGCCCCTTGATTGGTGCTAAGCAAGGCGATAAATACCCTGGTGCTAAGAATCTTGGGAGAGTATGTACCTACATGGCTTGAATCACAGTACCTATATAGAAAGCTGTTTAAATGAAGACCAATGCAGAACAGATCGACAAATTGTGTGTCATGAAGCAAGGGAGGCTGTGTTTCAGTTAACCTATGAATTCAAATTGACATTTTATCTTGCCATGAATAACCTACGGAATGATGAGCATTAGCACGCAGCCTGTCACCAGTCACCGTCACAGTACCTTCAGTTGAGTACTCACTAGTGTGACGCATGCTTTACGATTACCTACCCCTATATAGCTGGGCCTTGTCCAGCCCTGCCTGAATGCATGCTACTAGTTTCATCTGGTAACTGTGCCTGCTCCCATGCTTCAATTAATAAGTCATTACCACCATCTGAAATGGTCAGTGATATCATGAAAACCCTATCTGAATAACTTGTAAATTCACAATGATTTATGCAAACAATCATTGTAAATGGTAACAATTACAAAAATAAAATGATTGAACTTACTAATGATGGCAATGTGACTCAATGCAATTCATGCAAGTTTGTGTGAGTTTGAAGAAAACTTGTTTTTTCATACAATTGTCTACATTAGACATGTGCCTCCACATTGGATGCAATTCACTTCATATTTAATGTGCAATAAAAGCTAGTTTTTCAAACCATCACAATATTTTTCACTCAGAATGTTTTTGTAACCTAATGATAAAAATAGAGAACTATTGAGAGAATCTATCCATGTACTCCACCTTTTCAGTTTTCACCAGTCACCAATTTCCAATATGTGAGGTGATTTACATTTGTGTTGTAATATGTGTAAAAAACGATAAATTTTGCATGGACAGTGGACGATATTTCTTATAACAATTGCAAAGATCAAGCCTAGGTAGTAGATAGGGATTCAAAATGCTTCTTGACTTACCTATTGGACTTCAAAGCTCAAATAATTGGAATGGACACTTAAGTTTTTCATTGTATGAATTTGAGTATGAAATCAGCATTGTTGCTTACAATTTCTCACCTTTGATTTCACAGGTCCTTTGATTTTTTTTTAACTGAAGAAAGTATGGAAGAAATAACATTTTGTTTAGAATCAAATGATGAATGGGTGCAAGAAGAGGTAAGTGTCAGAGTACAAACATTGTAGGTATTTCCTTTTATTTTCAAAGGGATGATGTGCAGACTGCAGACAACAAGAGATAGCTAAGCTGAACAATGAACATGGTTCTCATCGTTTTCAGGCTGATCAGAATCCTTTATGTTAGGCTATGTTAGGTCTATGTTAGGCCTAATCTCTTTTAACCCGCGCCGCCCCGTAGGGCTATCGCCGGACCCTACCATCCGTAGGGGGGGGGGGGTTTCGGCCCCCCTAAGATCTCGGAAATTTACCGGCCGATTTTCAAAATTCAAACGGCGTTCGATAGCCCCACCGGGAAACTACCTTGTGACCAAATTTCATTGACCTAGGTTAAACTGATGACGTCACACGTCAGGTCAAAGGTCGGATTTTCACCGTTCACAGGCATTTCAAGAAATGTGTTGTGAAATGGAGTAAATTGGTAAGTTATTGAAAACCATCGATGGTACATTGTTCATCAAACACATACTTTGCTATCTGAGGTCACTGATACCAGGTCAGGTCACAGAGGTCAGGTCACTGGGGGGGGGTCACAATAAGGAAGTGTCGTGTGATGCATGTTTTATGGTCCATTTTACACGAAAAATGCGATTATGTGGGTCAGGCGGCCTTTGGGGCCAGCTTAGGTCACGTTTTGGTGAAGGTCAGGCCAAGGTCAGGTCAAATAAGGTCAAATTTCAAAGTTGATATTTTTGCATAAAATGGGTAGGTATCGATTCGATGCAGCTCGTCACGGGGAGTCTAATGGTGGTCTTTGTTTTGTCCTACGTAGTCTAGAATTGCCAAAATTTAAGTTGAAAATTTGACGTCATCATTTTTTAACAGTTTCTTCGCTATAACTTGGCCAAAAAACGTGATATCGATCTGAAATTTGGTATGTAGCTAGACGACGGTAGGTACTATAGTTCGTTTTTCTTAAGTTTGCCCCTCACTGTAAACGTCTTTTGAACATAGCACGAGAATTGGTAGCTGAGTTACTGAGAAAACTGGTTGGCCCACATTGATTTTACCAGATTTCACAGACGATCAATTACATCAAATTTGTTTACGATTTCACAGACTCATAGCTCGTATTTGCCCATACCTACAGCTCCACAGTGATAGATGACTTCTCAGGAATTATGTCTGAAATAATTAATAAATTGCACGGCGTTTAACATTAACGTTACATCGTCGGTGTTCAAAACTTATTTTGAAAATATAATTCATATCTCCAATACAATGTGCGCCAACCAATTTTCTCAATAATTCAGCTAGCAATTCTCGTGCTATGTTCAAAAAGACGTTTACAGTGAGGGGCAAACTTAAGAAAAACGAACTATATCACATATACATATTCCGTTTTTTTGAAACTCAAAAAACTTTTTGGATTTTTTGGCTAATTTATCCAAAATAAATGCTTTTTTGACCTTTCGGGGTCAAAACTCAAAATGTTCAAAAATCCGAGATAGCAGTTTTATAGCCATGTCAATTCTACACCTTTTATGTCTTGATCATTTTTCTGTATCTTCAAAGCTGTAGGCCTGACAGCTCTTCTCGCGAAGGTCTTTTTTCGGTCGAAAATGGCAGAACATGACGTCATTCTGACGTCATTTGTGGCCCACCTATGATAGCCTCTGGATTTTTTTTTTTTTTTTTGGTCACTGTGTAAAATTGATGCCCGGAGGGGTCCTGAAAGTTTGGTGGCGATATCTCCAGCCGCTTAGGAGATATCGACGAAAAGGACAAGGGGGGGGGGCGTTTTGGACCCCCCACGGGACGCGGGTTAATTGGTTTTAAAGCATGAGTGGCTCTTATTGTCACCAAGTTACTGCTAACACTTTTTTGTGTGGTCATTTTCACCTGATGAGGGCAAAATGATGATTGATGATAATACCTTCCACTCGAATGGGTACTCACGAGAATATGTTGAAAATTAGATCAAACAAAATCATTCTATCAAAACATTATGATATGCTGTAGGAAGTTATTGTATTTTTCTCAAACATAACCTATTTTGATATATTTTACAAAGTCACGTGAAGTACTAATGCAACTATGTTTGTTAACTGTATTGTCATGTATTGTATTATAAAATTGTTTCTGTCCATCAGGGAATCTTAAAAGTGTGCGAAAAGCTGAAAAAGGCTGGCCTTGGAGCTTCTGAGGTAAGAAGGACCGGCTGTGGCAGCATTGGTAATAAGCGACGGTAGCATAAATCTGTTTGTATGTTTGCTGTTAAGTATGAGACTAGTGGGTGAATGATTTGTTCTCACTTGAGTTATAAACAGAATACCAGCCTTGATTATGTGGGAACAAATCTAATCGAATTGCAGGTACCTAGCTAATTGATTATTAATCTTCAAATCCCGACATTCTTCAGTTAAGTCTTATCAGTATGGATACTCAACCCATACCAGTGGTCCTCTTTTCAAGATGTGCGTGCAGTTGTGGTACTTTCTTTTGCCGTTTGGCAGGCAGCCGAGTTCCGGGAGCTGACTGCCCTGCTGACCGGCAGCCGTCCGTCGACCGGTCGGCTCGCCGCTCGGGGTGTGGCGCTGCTCGTGGTCGAGGGCACCGTGCCACTGGCGGACGCTCTGCGGTCAGCCCTCTCCTCGGTGGCAGTGGGAGGCAGGTGAGACATGGGGCTCCAGGGAGGCGAGTCGTAAAATACAGGGAGGGTGAGGTAGGGGAGACGAGAGGAAGCGGAAAGCGAGGCACCAGCACACATGGAAGGCGAGACGCTAGACAGTCATGGAGGCGAAACACCAGGTGCTAAGGAAAGTGAACTGTGAAACAATTGTGCGTTACAGCTGTCATGTTCTCCCTCTGGTTTATGTACGTTACAGCTGCGGACTGCGGTGACGCAGATGCTGTGGTGTACGTTACAGCTGCGGTGATGCTCTGGTGTGGCTGGTGACAGAGCTGCTGCAGACAGCCCTGCAGGCAGCTGCGGGCGGCCAGAAGGCCCTCCCGTCTCTAAGTTCAGCTCAGCACCCGCACGTGACGCTGCTGCGCGCGCTGCCTCAGCACAGCCACCAGGTTGGTGCGGAGCTGGAGAGGCTGCTGCTGGCTGATGACAGTCCACAGTAAGTAAACTGATCAGTGCTCCGTGTGTGATTCAGAGAATGGGGTGGGGAAATACGGATATGACCTCACTGCTCAGTTCAAAAGGCATACAAAACACCGGAAGTATATGTTTGCTTGTGTTTGTAAGTAGTCTGATAATCGTACAGAGGATGCTTGATAACAGTCATAAGGAAGCGTGTTTGGCTATGTTTTGGGTATATATGTTCTAAGTAAGTGCATAGATCACATAAATCGTAAGTGATTACCAAATTATGAGCAAGTGCTCGCTAGTAAAGGCCAAAATGATCACGTAAACTTGTGCCTGAAAATATGCTAAGTACTTACCTAAATGAATAATACGTATATTACAAATGTTAAGTCACTAGCACCTGTCATTTTCCCACCACTGTGGCAGGTACTGCGGCGTGGCGCTGGAGTACGTCACGCCGTTTCTGTGGGCGTGTTGCGGTCCGCAGACGCCATCCCATCTCCGTGCCCGGCTGGTGTCTGCCCTGTGTCGCCAGGCGCGCCTCAGTCGCACCCCGCTGCCCATCCACCGGGCGCTGCAGCTGCTCTCCAGGGTCCAGGTCGGTCCGCAGATATCGGTGCTGAGACGTGACTGGATGTCATTCGGTCCTTGTTATGCCTTTTGGTTTCAGTATTTTTCATATTTGACTGAAGTCGAGCAATATTTTAAAAATTGTTTTGCATTGTCTTGATCGCCCTGTTATATCGTCTTCTAGGAGCGCCTTGGCCATGTGGATAGACACTTGTCTGATGTTGCAAACCACTGTTCTAACGAACTATGGTGTGGTGTTAGTAAATTTCGTACTTAATCCATTCCTATTTTGTGTTAAGCTCGCCGCAGTGTTCAGCCTGACGTCTAATCTTCCCCCGCCAGGTGCCGCCCGCTCAGCTGTGCTGGGAACTACCCCCGCTCTGTCGCAGACTGGTGGAGTTTGCCGAGGAGATCAACGACCGAGCGCTGCTCCGCTCGCTGACGCCGCTCACTGTTCACTGTCTGCAGCTGCAGGTGAGATGAATAGCTTATAAGTACGTAGATTTCTTAAGTTCCCTCAATTATTCTTGCAGGTAAACGTAAATGATCATGCACACGGCTTAAACTTAAGGTGGTGCCTTTGGTAGCTAGATGTCAAGATCCTAAAAACAGTAATGTTTTGATCAATCACCCCGTGTTTGACTTGATAGTTAACCCTATTAGTGGCAGGCTCCTGGCTACCCCTATTAGTGGCAGGGGGGGCTGTTTACGACCCCCCCCCTGATATCTCGAGATCTAACGGGCCGATTTTCAAAATTCAAACGGCATTCGATTTCGCTCAACGTGATCTACATTTCTAAAAAAATAAAGATTGAAAAAATGTCAATAGGGGGGTAGAGGGGGGTAAAAAGGGGCAAATTGCAGATACATTTTAGACTGTTTATCACGGCCAGGTTTCTGAACCAATTTTAACGCAACTTTTGCCGATCGATAGAGAATGAACCAGGAATTCACATGGATCCTAAAAATATGCATTTTCAAAAATCATAGGAGGATACAGATCATTGAGATTGGGGGTACACAAAAAGTATAGTAAATAAGATTTTTGTTGGTACTGTTTCTAAAAAGGGTGGTAATGGTCTTGTTATGTTACAATTTTCTTATGAGAGAACGACTACAATTGTATTGGTCATGCATAGGCGGTGTCAGGGCACCTATGTTGGGAGGTAAAACATAACCCCCCTTTTTGGACGCCTGGATCCGCCTATTATAGCAAAAACGTGTTAAAAGAGGATGCACAATAACTTTGTATATGTTATCACATGATACCTTTCATTCACTGTTCGTAAAACTGGTGCATACAGTTATAATACATCAGCATCGTGATCTTCGCCCAAATGACTCGCTTCACGAATAGGATCCCCCAATTCCCAGTGCTCTGGAGCCGCCCCTGGTAAAGTTATGAACTTGAAATTTTCAGGGAATGTGCCCAATTTAGTTTTAGGAAAAGTCAGAAAATTTCAGCATCGTAGCTTCAGCGGTTTCGGAGATATTCCCGAAAAACCTGAGGGGTGGATGAAAACAACCTCCCCCTGCCACTAATAGGGTTAACTTGGCGTATCTATCCATTTGCCTCCAGCCATCTACCGGTGCACTACCTTTCTGCGTTCTACAGCCGTTGACCTGACCCTTGTGTCATGCACAGGTCTCCGAGGGCTTATGTGACGTCTCGCCGGCACTGTCCGAGGTCACCAGACTCCTGGAGCTCGGTGTGAGTGGAGACGTGGAACTGGTGCTGCTCTCAGACACCATCGCTCGGTCCTCGGCACTGTCCATCAGAGACGGGAAGCTGATTGGTGCAGGTGAGTGTAGTGTAATCCGCTTCACTAGGTCCTTCGTCTGCTCTGGTAGATCTAGGTAGATCATTCACCTTCACAAAAGTTATTTTTGCTTACACACTTGCTTCGTTAATCTTGTCTTTAGGAAGTATATTTTTCCGCGATAGAGGCGATTCTTAGAGAAGCTCTTGAAACGCAAGACATTGACAGCTAAGGCACAACTATCTTCCCCATTACTAAATTGACCACGATCGGCGAGGTTGGTGCCTGGAGGGGCATTTCAAGGTGCAAGCGCGAACTTGCATCTAACGTATTCAATATACACGTTTTTTCCAAACACGTCGCAGATTTTCGTGTACATTGGCTGCATCAATTACGTTTGAACGATGAATGTTGACGTTGCAGTACCGTCACTCTTAAGTTTTTTTTTAACGAGCGGAGTGGAAGCATTGCAATTGCATACCGTAGCTTATCCGGCGAGAGTTTTGATTTTGCTCGTCGTGGAGCACATACGGATTGCATCTTTTTCGTAATATGCCCCACGTTGGGCGCCATTTTGGGCTCATATGGCATTGAATATGAAAAGTGTATTTTTGATATGAAAAGTTTTACTATTATCCCAATTATATCCCACACACTAACCACACTTATCCAATCGGCAGTGTGCCGGCTGCTGGAGGGCGGCCGGTACAGCCCGCACGTGGCCGCGCTGCTGGTCCCTCCGCTGCTGCGGGCCGTCTCGCTGCTGCCCGGTCTCACGTCGCTGGTGGAGCCTCTGCTGGCTCTGCTGGCTGCCGGGCCGAGCGGTGCTGCCGGTCGGCTCCAGGAGGCCGCCTACTGGCCGGCGGTGGCCGATATCAGTCCCGACCTCTGCCGGGCCGCCCTGCTCGCCGACACACTGGCCGCAAACGAGGAGGTATGAGTGTCTGAAACTCAGTTTGGTTAGGGTTATGTGAGATCGCTTGCTTTGTTTTGTGGCTTTGTAACGAAGTGTTTGATTCAATTTGTACGCTTTTTGATGTGTGGTAATTTTGACCCCTCTTTGGTGGGTTATGTTTTTTTTTTGTTCGCAGATAAATTTATCCTGCCTCGCCACCAGATTATTGTCAGTAGGCTCGCTCATTCTATTTTTCCTTTTTTATTCTGTCTTCACTTGTGCTTTCTGCCTATGTTATGTCTCTGATGGCTCTCATTGCTCTTTCAGCTGCAGCGAAGCTGGCTGAACCATCTGGAGGTGACGCTGTCTCGCTCCGAGCCGGATGCCTTCTCTGAGCGTGCAGCCCTGGCGCTGATCGTCTGCACTAGCAGTTCGCCGTCCGTCCGCGGGGCGGCGCTGCGCGCTGCTCTGGCGGCTGTGCGCCAGCGGCCTGGACTCGCTGTGGAGCTTTTCTACTGTATCATATACCGTCTGAAGGTGGAGACGGACCCGGAGATGGTTATGACGCTGCTGCGCGCCCTCCCTGAGCTGGCTGTCAGCAAGGTGAGAGCAACAGTCACTAAGCGGTGGAATGAGTGAATGCTGAATTTGGCACTGCTTCGTTGCCTTTGGACGATTTTGCTTTGGTTATTTCGCATTTAAGTTTGCGCTGTATAATTATCAGGGAGGGGACTCAGCGGTCCCTTGTCTCCTGGGCCGCCATATCGGGCAAATCGACTGCTACCACCCGAGACCGACGCATAAGTCCCGCGGTCCTCGCTGACCCCTGACGCCCTTGTGCCGCCCTTAGGCTGTGGTGCCTCCCCTGGTCCGGCTGCTCACCGGACTGGTGACGTCTGACGGTGGCCGCGGCCCGCTGGCGGCCGACGCCGTCCGTCTCTTGGCCGCCGTGTGGCGCCGCGAGGAGCGCTGCCTGCCCTACCTGCTCTCCGTGCTGAAGATGGAGGGCCCGCTGACCGCCCAGTCGTCCCGCCTACTCCTGGCCAGACTGGCTGCCATCGCTGATATCTGTACACATAGGTGAGCGCTCAGGACGTGTAGCTGGATTAATGTTTTTCGTTCTTTAACTGTTAATACACAAAACTGGTCGTAATTGATAAGTACCCATGTAGTCACCAGCATATCGAAAAGGCATCGGTTGGTGTAAATCGAACGTGCCTGCTTGCGAGTTAGCAATAGTCAATGGCCTCTCTGCTATACCTCATGGCTCTATGCTCCAATATTAACTACACCTTTGAAATTAACAGCTCAGTATAACCTCCGATGTAGTGTTTTATCCCACCAACTCCCCCATCACCCTGTCTTCCAGCCCGACGTCCGGCAAGGACCAGCTGTCGGCTTTGTCTCGGGTGCTGACCGAGCTGACGACGCCAGAGAGTGGAGCTGCCTGCAGTCTGGCACTGACCGGCATCTCAGCGCTCTGTCAGGCAGAGGTACTCGATGTACGCACCACGTGGCGCATCCTGGCACCGAAACTGAGACAGGAACGACGGACGCCCGTCTTGGCACGGTGAGTCAAGGGCCCGGAGCCAGTGTCATTACTTTTTCAATCGAATCCGTCATGACAACTCTGTCGTTTTAATGTTTTTAGAATGCATAGTTAGTCATTTGACTTCATTTCGTGCTTATGTTTCAGATACATGGACTTCCTAGCACTGGTACCCCAGCTACACGTGCCAAGTGAGGAATACGAAGCCTTCACCCTGGAAGTATCGACCGTTCTGTGGCAGCAGGTCACTGGTAAGCGGCCACCTGCCGTGGTACGCGCCGCACTCCGTGCTTTGTCTTTCTACAAACCCGGCTCCTTTACCCTGCGAATGCTGCCGGCCGCCGCCAAAGTGGGACTCGTCGTGCCGGCCAAGCTGATCGCCACGCCGGCTGACGCGGCGCGCTCGCCGGAGGAGCTGATGCCGTACGTACCGGGCGACTGCTACACGCGCCTGCTGACCCACCTGCTCCCGGAGCTGATGGAGGAGTATGGTCACACGCTGACCGGCCTGGTGGGCTGCGAGATCAAGCTGATCGGTCGCGGGGTGTACTTCACGGCCAAGGAAAAGGCGCGGAGGGAGGGCGGCGAGCCTTCCTCACTGGCCTACCTGGAGCCGGCGAGTATCGTCAGGGCTCTGGTGGCCTACCTGCAGACGGCAGCCGGCGGCTCGGAGGGCGGGGAGGCTGTGCTGGCGGCCGGGCCCGCCCCGCCGGCAGCGCTGGCCGCCTGTCTGTGGCCGCTGGCCGCTGATCTTGGCCACGCGCTGCCGCCGCTAAATCTCTCCTTTCTTCTGCGGCTGGCGGAGCGCGGCGGGCCGGTGGCGGCGCTCTGCGTGGAGGCGCTGGCACGCCATTGCTGCACGCACCCCTCAGCTGCCGACTCGCTGAAGATTCTGATGGCCGTCCCACCGAGTGACAACCGTCCGCCGGAGGTCACCGAGGCCCTCCTCAAACACCTGGGTATGATCGGACGCGGCGTGCCGCCCGCCGTGCTCATGCCGTTCGTGCAGCACCATCTATCGACGACCCTCGGAACTTCTGGTTCGGAGGCGTGCCGTGTGCTGGCGGCGCTGCGTACGGCGCTCAAAGACGAGCGTCTACACGAGGCGAATCGGGCGACCATCGGCCATGTGATGGAGGCCATGGCCGACGACATCAACCCGGAACAGGTTAGTGCTCAACAATTCCTAACTATAGTTCGTTTTTTTTTTCAAAAGGACGCTGGCTCCAAGTATGTTTTTCGAACAAGCACGTGTTTTAGCCGCCAAAACGAGCAAAAACTGAACCTGAGAAAGTCGAACGTCGACTAATTTTAACATGTGATTTCTTCCCGATAATTTCCATATGTGCATTTTGGAACCAGATATGGGAACAGTGGTGACGTCTGCTGTCGAACATGTATTGCAATGTAACTTATAACTATCATGGACGGAACCGCTTACTCGATTATGCTCGGCAACAGTGAAAAAAAACTAAGTTTCACCCAAATTCGTTGACACTTGGCGCATCGCACGGACATTTGGGTGCCTGCTGCCACCAGTGACGTCATCATAGTATGTTCATTTTTAAGAAACAATTTCCAGCTACTTACCGTGCACAATTTGAAATCGATTATTTTTTCGGTAAGAAATTCTTGGCCAGACACTGAAGCTGCCAAAACTCACGTGAGAGCTTCGATATTGCACTTTGAGCCAGCGTCCTTTTGAAAAAAAACGAACTATACCTATCAATTTTGGTTTTGGAGCCTTCTCAAAGTGTCTCCAAGTTTTCAGTGAAAATACTATTTCACTTAGTGGTCACCCACGAGGATCATTTTTCGTACTTAACGTAAACCTTATACAATTTCTTTGGCGCCGTAATTGTCTTATTGCTTCATTTACCGCGATGTAGAAATCTCACTCGCCCTGTTAAGTAGCATTGTATTAGCTACTGCTCTTCTATTGATTCCACTGTTTATTTTTTCCAATCAACTAATTCTCCGTCCGTCACCTGGCTTTACAGACGGAGGTATTCACGGCGTTCCTGGAGGGTATCTCGGAGCTGCCCACGTCTCACCTGGAACGGCTGAGCTCGCCGTCCCTCTGGTGGTCAGTCGAGAAGGCCAAACTTGTCGTGGCGGCCGCCGTGCGGAGCCACATGTCCTGTCTGGGCGAGGGAGACAGCCCCATGGTCTGGATGAATGATATCATCGATGCTGCGGGCAGCGCTGGGTCAGTATTTATTATTCTTTTCACTTGCGAGAAGTTCGTTTCGAGAAACCATTTGTGATAGTGTGTTACGAAATACCTTCCTTTGTTTTTGTCGGTCACGCATAACTCGAATATTTTTTTATCCTATCACTTTTACCGTTGTTTGCTTCGACAGGCCGGTTTCGGTACGGCGAAACACATTCCGTTTTGCCTTGACTCCAGCCACGTTTGTTGTCGCTCAAGTCTCAAAGTTACCCAAATTTGTTAGTGCGTTCCGTCATCGTCCCAGCCGCCCACTGACTCACTGTGCGCTGTATACCCCCAGTCTGGGAGCGGACGTGGAGTCGGAGGTGTGCCGCGCGCTGGCCGGCTGCTGCGGCCACTCCTCTGCTCCCGACTGGCTGCTGGAGCTGCTGTTCAGGCTGCGGGCCGTCCAGACGGGCCGGGTGGACTGCGACACCGCCAAACCAGGACAGGTCAGCCGGCCGGCGTGCTTGTTAGAGCTGTTATACCGGCTGTGAAAGTCTGTTAGAGCTGAATTAGACTCTGAAACAGCCTCTTTCAGCTTGCAGGATACTCTTGAAATACATTTTCTATTGCTTAGATTAAAAGCACGTACGAAGCTGGTGCGTGCGATTGATGCGAGCGAGATAATCCCGGCGGTCGGCAACATACTGCCGACGGTGGAGGAGGTCAGGCGCGGCGACACGGTGGCGGCCCTGGTGGCCGCCTTCAGGGCCCTCCAGAGCTGAGAAGCTACACTGCGGCTCTGCCGCAGATGGAGGGGACAACACAACAACAACAACAGATATAATGCATATGAAAATGGCTCTCTTATACGAGAATTGGTTATTGGTCATTGGTATTTCAGCTTACGAGCCGCCACAAATTTGGGCATTTGGGCCCGGTTTATACGAGAACGGCTCTCTGACTTCTTACACGAAAATGGCTCTCTGTGTGCCGAAGGTCTGTTTAAACCTTTTGGGAAGTGTCTTGCATAAGGCAGTTCACCAGATGACGTATGCAATACGCGTTCAGTAATGTGCTGCAACTTTATGTCATCGTCCACCGTTGCCTGCGCACCCTGACCGCGCCTGCCCTCTCGGCAGGTGCTGGGCTGGCTGGCCGACGTGCTGGCCTGTGCCGTGCTGCTCTGGTCGCCGTTGACTCTCACCTCCTCCCCCACCTCTCTGGCCTCGTCGGCCTCTGCGCGGACGCGCCTGTTCCCCGCCGCGGCCCGGCTGCTGCTCAGCCAGCCCCGGTGGCGGCCCGTACTGAAACAGGTTAGTGCGGGGTCTCGGGGAGCTATGCACCAACGTGTTTGCTTGATTCGTTAGTTTTTTATGTGATTTGCAGTTATTTTGGGTGCAAATGTAACGAATGCCAGTTAAACATCAGCGATATTCTTTTTATATGCAATACAAGATCAGGCATATGTTTTCAGGATCTTTAAGATCCTGATGGATCCAAATAAAACTTTTTCCGTCTTACGGATCGATGGTTACTTACAGAGTCGGTCATTAGTTAATGATGGTAATCTCTGCCGCGCAAGTCGCGACACCTTTTCACTGGTAGCGGATGTAATCTTGTAACCGCGTACACTATTACGATTCGTGGTCTAATTTCTGGTCTTCTCTGCCGCACACCCAACACCCCGTGCCCGTTCCGTCCCCTGACGACGCTTATTATTCCCTACCACCTCGTCAGGTGTACGGCTGGCTGCAGCGGCTGCAGGATGAGCCGTCGGTGTCAGACCGACTGAGGCTGCCACTGCTGCTGCCGCTGCTCCAGCCGGCCGCCTGAGACTGAAGCGACGCGGTGGAGACGGTTCCTGGCGCGGCAGAGACTGTCTGGCGCACTATGACATAACGATGACGGTCCTCAGCGTACGGTGAAACCGGGTGGCTTGGCGTTATGAAAGCTTCCACTGCTGTGATCTGATTGTTGGTTATGTTGGCTGACTGGACTGTTGATGGATAATATATGTTTCGTGATGTGATTCCGATTGTTTTATTTGTGCTAGCTTGTCACTTTTTATGCCGCTTGTGGCTTGGCTACACATCACTTGGTTCAAAGACTTTTTGCGAAAAACTTTTGTGACAGAGGCGCGCAAACGGATGTAGACATGCCGGTAGACTAGGAGCGGGATTCTACTTCCGATGTCTGTGGGAGGCAGCACCGACAGAAGTGAAACAACTCTTGGGATTTTGTGGTTTATGTATTCACGCCAATGCTACATAGACAAAATAGTGGAATTTCTGCCAGCATTTTGAAGTGAATGAAAGAAACGATGTCTGTGCAGTTACAACATATAGGTGGTGGTTTACCGACACATCGACTTATTTCTAGAACAAACAAACATACATACATACAAATGCGACTAACACCAAAAATGTCATCCAGATTCCGCGCTGGTACCCCCAGATCAAATAATCAATGACGCTGCTCAGAATCCTCTCGACCGGATGACGACTTCTTCACGCGCCGGTCACTTTGTACAATGGTGGAAGGTTGCAGTACTACGAGGAATGGGGCTGGCTACACAGAACCGGCGAACGCGCGTTACACAGAACATTCGGATTATTGTCTTTCACACAACTAACCATCGGAAATGAAAAGCGTGATCTGAGAGTGCGCAAGGACGGTCGGCCAGATTTAGGCCACATCCAGATACAGCAAAGGCGTGACACTGAGATGAATCGACAGCCTGCAGCAGACAGAGTTAGTGCGTAAGACGATAAATCCAAGGTCAACCCCCGAACGCACACTTCCAGTCCTAACAAAGTTGGGCCCTTGACCTTGGACTGATCTCACCGCCCAAACCTCTACCTCATGGACACTTATTATGGTAGACACTGGCACGATCGTTCGCGACCAATCAATTACACACCAACACAGACTTGGCAGCTGCTGTCTCGCACACAAATCTCCATGTCTTTGAAGGCGCCACGGAAGCGCCCAGGTGCACTAGCCGACTTGACGCACTGCATAATGTTACACATTCTGAACTGTGCGGCGTAACGAGCGCCTCAGGAAGTCACTGACGGGCGACTGGCCACCCTCCACTGTCCAGCAGATGCATATCCTCTCTCTCCGACCTCTGCACCACGCCGCAGTACGCGTGATCGGTGCACACAGCGAGCCGCCCCGCGAGTCACGCATTCTGTGCATGTGCGAGTGTTTGTTAACTGGTAGACGGGAGTGTGCTGGCAGATAATCAGCCAGTCGCGGACGACCACCGCCGGGGTCGCCGCGCCCGACCCTCCACCACCGTCCGAGCGCCGGCCGTCGCCATCGAACGCCGCGGTGCGCTGAGACCGCCGCGGTGCCCCAAGAACGCCTCAGTGCGCGTCTATAGCTCGGGCAGGTCCTCGATCGGTGTGTGGAAGTTGAAGTCGGGCGGGAAGAGCTCGGCGGCGCGCGGCAGCATCAGCTTGTACGACTGCCGGATGGTGACGTCGGCCACGCCGGCGATGTCTCCGATCTCCTTCTGGGTCTTCTTGTCCTCTGACGCCTGTCAGTGACGGGGAGAGGTGGATGAGAACGGGTCACGAAACGCCTTCGAGCCAGTGAGATGCTGCTAACTGCGAGATGCTAGTGATGCATGATGGTTGACAGAATACGAAACGAGTTTTCCGTTACAACGTGATTGTATCGAAATTGGCGACACTTTGATTGGCAAAATTGGCGATGCAATGTGTTTATGATCTTCCGAAAGTCCCAAATGCAGAAGAAGACATCCACAACTACCGCGGCTCTGTCCCTATATTTCCATAAACTTAACTTATGTCAGCGAATTAAAATCTCCAGTCGGATGCCGCCCTGAATGAACACTTAAAAAAAAAAACAAAAAAAAATATTAAATAAGCAAATGGGTGCGGTGCGAGTCAACCCAACTGCGCCACGGTTGTAAATACCTGGGACGCCATGTAGATAGCCGCTGCGGCGACTGAGATGGGCGACCTTCCGGGCACGATATCCAGCTCCTTGGCAGCGCGGCGAGCGATGTACGTGGCCGCGCGCTGCACGTAGTTGGGCAGACCTGCCGCGAGGAAAAGACGGATGCAATATAATGTTACTCAAGGCTCCCGCGAATAGTCTTCAAAGAGCAAAAAACCTATGATAAACCCTCATTATTTCAGAATGTACTAAACCAACATCGGAAACGTCCTTACAGCCTAAGATAATACTCCCCCGCTTGCAATTCCTACAAAAAAGCAAGTTGGTCAGCCTTTGTTCAGCCCAAACACAGTCACAGGACATGAATTTAATGACCAACTTACGCAGATTGGCGCAGAAGCGCGACATGAAGTCTCCCGTGGTGATCATATCCACGGTAGTATCAAGCGCCTTCAGAATCAACTTGAAGCACCGGCCGATTTCCTTCTTACTAATCTTGCTGACAGCGCAAATTTCCTGAACAGGGAGAGATAACGTTAGATTAACGTCTAGGTACAACGCAAAGAGAAGACAGGTTGCTTGAGAGCTTTTCGGCTGTTGCTACTCGGTTAAACAATTATGCCACTAAAAGCATAAGTGGAATGCGCCAAAGCTGAACGAACAATGGCACGCAATTGATATAATATTGCGTGTTGCTATGCCTGTTTACTAGTAAAAACTTGTTAAATGAGACATGAAATAACGTTAACACATGAAAAGTATCTGGTAAAGGCCTGGCTACACTATGCGTTTTCTGCGTGCGTTTTTGCAGGTTTGCGTGTTTTGCGTAATATCGTTCTAGGAAAAAAGTTATAAACAAAATAATTTTTACTTTGGTTATATACAAAAGCTAATATAACTCTTATGTAACTAAAATTTAAGGTGAAAAACATCACAAAAACGTAATATCGTTCTTTTTTCTAGAACGATATCACGCAAAACACGCAAACACGCAAAAAACGCACGAAAAAAACGCATAGTGTAGCCAGGCCTTTAGAGTGATAAAACACAGCGTCTGAAAACATTCCTAATTTCTAGTCATCCTTAACTGAGTGTTGGAACATCACGCAATGGATACATTTTATTGTCTTCTAAGATCTACATCAACGTAACCGCAAGACACGACACAGTCAGCCCATCGCACCACCTCGTGGCCCTCCGGCACGCGTCCTACCTTGAATGTGCGCGGCACTCCCTCCTGACGGCAGCTGATGTACAGGCACGCCGAGGCGATGGCGTCGTTGGAGCGTCCCTTCAGGTTGCGGCCGTCGTGCACCTGTTTGAACAGGTTGTTGGAGCGGTCGACGATGGTGCGAGGCAGACTGATGCGGTCGGCCATTAGCGCGATCTCGCGGAACGCGTTGGTCAGCGCCCGGTCAGAGCTGCTCATCTGGGGAGAAAGGCAGGCAGTGGTGTGTTAGAGCGGGGCGCGGGGAGGTTACCGAAAATAATGGACGTGTTGTAATTGAGGGATAGCGTGGCCATTGAAATGTTGAAGAAGGGTTTAAGTGAACCAGCGACAGGTTGTGTCTTGCAAATACGTAGCTTGCTCGTTGTGTATGCCGGTTAATTTCCAACGCTACTTTTTAAAGCGACTTTCCACAACCCCATTCTCTCCATAGCTACGGCACTAGTGGGTGATATTCACACCACCCAACTCTATCCCATTCACCTGTCGTCGGTTCTGGTACTTGCTCTGTCTATCTCTATCCCACTCACCTGTCGCCGGTTTTGGTACTTGCTCTGTCCATCTCTATCCCACTCACCTCCCGCCGGTTCTGGTACTTGTTCTATCCCTCTCTATCCCACTCACCTGTCGCCGGTTCTGGTACTTGCTCTGCCGTCTCTATCCCACTCACCTCCCACCGGTTCTGGTACTTGCTCTGCCGTCTCTATCCCACTCACCTCCCGCCCGTTTTGGTACTTGCTCTGTCTATCTCTATCCCACTCACCTGTCGCCGGTTTTGGTACTTGCTCTGTCCATCTCTATCCCACTCACCTCCCGCCCGTTTTGGTACTTGCTCTGTCCGTCTCTATCCCACTCAGCTGTCGCCGGTTCTGGTACTTGCTCTGTCCATCTCTATCCCACTCACCTGTCGCCGGGTTTGGTACTTGCTCTGTCCGTCTCTATCCCACTCACCTGTCGCCGGTTTTGGTACTTGCTCTGTCCATCTCTATCCCACTCACCTGTCGCCGGTTTTGGTACTTGCTCTGTCCATCTCTACCCCACTCACCTGTCGCCGGTTTTGGTACTTGCTCTGTCCGTCTCTATCCCACTCACCTCCCGCCCGTTTTGGTACTTGCTCTGTCCATCTCTACCCCACTCACCTGTCGCCGGTTCTGGTACTTGCTCTGTCCGTCAGCCGTGAAGGAGGCGGCGCCGCGCGCGTCCCCGATCATGGTGCTCAGGTCGGAGCTGCCCAGTAGTTTGTTCTCGGCACCACCGACACGCGACGGGTCGGCGGCGTTCTTGTCGCTGCTGAATGTACGCCATTCCGAGCCGACGTCGATCACACTGGCGGTAGGGAGTCGTGGGGTCAGTTCACAGTATTGAACCAGTTAGGACGGGCAGCATCATGACAGTGAGACGACCTGGTAGTCAGCTCCGTCCCGAGGAAACAAGCCGTGAAAAGAGGAGCACTGCCGGAGTTGCACCATCAACATAGGCACCACTGGGTGATAGACACCTAAACTATCAGACTAACAGTCACATATGTTTAAGCCTACCTACACAAGGACGGTTCTACGTTCAGACGCCGTTTATACGGTACTTACCGGTCTCCGACGACCAGGCCGCAGACGGAGCAGATTTGGTCACCGGCGCGGTAGTCCTCAATCAGATGGGCCTCCGGGTGTGCGGGGCATCCGATCTGCTGCACCTTTCGCCTGAAAACAAACGTAGTCAAAATCCAGACTAACATAGAAATACACGGCGGATTCGAAGGCACACAGCAGCTCCATAAAATTCAGAGTAGATATGCATGTTATTGATTTAACCAGCGTCGTGAGAGGGAGGTCCTTCTCTAGACTCCCAAGATTTATCGTGAATAGTTTAATGGGG